AACTTCAAAACGTATTTCCGAACTTCACTTTTTTTCGGCTAGCGTTACCGAAATTTGCCCTTGGTGACCTAAAATCGAAATGGAGCCAACAGATTTCCCGCAAAATCGATAACAGACCCTCTGCAGAAATAAACTCAGAATCCTGATATCCCATACATAAGTATGTGCAAAAGACAATAAACTCTCGTAGAAGGTGAATCAAAAATTAATTTATGGCTTAAATCAAACAAACACAGAAGTTAAGCTAAACAAAACCATGTAAAACAAATTGAAATGATAAAACGAAACTTAATAAACTTTTCATGTGAATTTTCAGCAGCACTGACTCTCCCATTCTAGAAATTTCAATTTGTTTCAGACAAAGACCGCATTTAGCATTTAGTTTTAAAGGATTATGCCATCCATCAATATCCAGTCTTTGTAGTCAGCTTGATGAAGGCCACAGTTTATTGAAAATGCACTTTCCAGGCATCTCGTTCCTATTGGCGTCGGAAGGGTTGTCTGGCCTTCCAGGTTGGGATTGCTCTAATTTTGGCAAATATTTTCAGAATCCCCCCCCCCTTTTTTTTTTTCTCTCGAGCACCTTCATCATCACTTTTCGCCTCTTAAAGAAACTTCCGGCTTCTCACGCTTTCGTCACAATCCTGCCTAAATTTATGGATAAACACCTGTTTCAAAAGATTGGGTGAATAGCCAATCAGACACCCGATACTTTCGTTCTAGGGTAGGTAATTAATTTTTTTTTTTTTTTTTTTTTTTTTTTATCGTTTGCAACGCAAATCCGCCAACAGATTGGTTAAGAGTCGTGTAATTTTAATTTCATATTCATGAGAAATCGTAATTCACACTTAGAATGGCAATCATTAGAAATGATAAGAAATGTCAAATGAGCAAAATTAAGAACCGTTTATTCATTTTGGCCAAAATTAAGGACTTTTAAGGACCAAAAATCATTTTTGAAAAAATTAAGGACTTTTAAGGACCGTACGAACCCTGATATTGCATATCGTCAACAAAAAAATAATGTTTTAAAATAATTTTCGTTATCGTCTTTTGTCATTGAATTTGTCAATTGAATTTGTCATTGAATTTTGTCATTGAAAAGAAACATGTCTTTACTTCGTGAAGACAAAATGGCGGCGAAAAGAAATAGAGGGTGGCTGTAGCAGAGTTGGTCGCCAAATTTTCGCCAAAAAATCGCTAAGTTACCATAATCCAAAGATCAACCAAATTCTTAAATTAATGACTTTTTACAAATTGTTTTGATTTATTGGCTTTTTACAAAATTTTAAACCATATTAAAATGCTTATGCCTTTAAAATAAAAAATTCTTAGAACTAACATTTGCTAATGTTTTTTATGTGTATACGTATGCTGTCGCCAATAAAGTCTGCTTGGCGAGATTTGCGCCGGCAAAACGGCAAAAGTATTAAGTAATGTTATATCAAACTAAGTGTAGTTGGTACTATTCGGTTTTGAGGGCCGTAAAAAATCGCCAAACTATTGTTGATGCCAGTGCTGCCAAAAATAATTGCGGCAACCCTTAAGCAAGAAAGGAAGTAATATTAAATAACTATCTAAGATTCATGTTTTAATTTAGATGAAAAGTTAATTTCATATAGTACTTTTTTATTATAATTTATATAAAAAAAGGCTAAACATCACTGAATGGAAGCATAAGAGTAAATAACTATTTAGATCATTATTACAGTCAAAAAGTCTTTAATCTGGACCTCAAAGCCACAAACTTTCTGCGCATGCGCCAACGCATACTGCGTTAATGCATGTGCATATTACATTTACGCATGTGCGTTTAATGTATAACGGACTGTATAAGCTAAGCTAAAATTATCTATTTCAGTTAATGTTGCAGATTGCGTTGTTCCTTAATCTTCTTATTGGATCTGGCTTATTACTTTTTGCAGACTGTTAGAGCAATTTTATAAAAGTAAGCTTGAACTTTCGATTATGTCAAAAAGAATTTCCGATTCTGGAGCTGCCAAAGGATCTACAAAGCGAAAGTATGTTTCGATGTCCATCAAACAAAAAGTGGAATTGCTGCAAAAAATGGATAAAGGCATATCCTTTGTTTCTCTAACCGTTCCGAAACCTGTTTATCAATTTCACGCTGCTCTGTGGTGGGGGGGGGGGGGGGAACGCCGGTGCGCAATCACTTGGAAGTTGATCTGTCAGCACTATCCTTATCTTCAGGGCAGATGTTATTATTTTATTCACCTTTTAATTGCTTACTAAATGTAGTATTTCATCTCGATGTACTCCATCTTTGATATAATTTAAATCAAATTCCTCGTCATTATAAATATCACGAATACACATCATATAGTTGTCTGGTTGCAATTTTCTAATTTCGATTATGCGTAATGTATGCTTTATGCATGCGCGCGTTGAAAGAGATGTTTAATAAAGTAAACAAATAAATATTAAGCTTTTTTTTTGTAAATTTTGATACCCTTTAGATCATAATTGCTCTTTATTTCATAAATTACAGTTTGATATTTTTAATTTTATAAATAATATCCCGATTAAAGACTTTTGACTGCATAATTTATACAAAAATTGCTAAACATAACTGAATGGATGTCTGCATCGTTATTTAGCTACCAAGCTATCGCTAAAGCCTAATTTCATCTCGTTGGTTGTTCAAACATAATTTTCTATAATGAATGATTCTTTTTCTTTGAAAACATTCTCGGTAAAGTGCAGAATCGCCCACTTAATCGTTTGCCACTTTTTACAATGGTAAAAACAATTGGAATTTTGTCAATTTTCTTTTACTTTTAAGTGAAAATAGGTCGATGTGTACATAGATAAAGTCAAGGGTGTGCGCAGTGCCATTTTTGTGCAATTCTGAGATTTTTTTTTTTTTAAGTGAAAATAGGTCGATGTGTACATGGATACCGAGTATGTGCAATTCTTAAAAACGCGTCAAGCAGTGGGTGATTCTGCACTTTACCCAAAATTCTATTGTAGACTTTTTGTCATGGGCAATTCCCAAATTGTTAAATCTATAGAATATCAAAAAAGTATTTAAAAATTAAACTAGTATTTCAATGGTGTCTTAAGAAATATAGAACTATAAAAACTTATGCAATTTGAAATCAGCACGTATGCTAGATTTGGCGCACTGTTAAATGGGCACGTTTCCTAGATCTGGCGCTTTTGCGCATACATTTTCGCTGCAATTTTTTTTACGGTCCTCAAAACGGAATAGTACCATGTAGTTTTATTGAGCAATGGAGTTCATATTTGTGGCATAAACAGAAATTTTAAAAATTTGAAGCTAAAGTGAAGTAAGTATACTGGCACGCAAACTTTGGTGACTTCATCATGAGATAATGATTTTAATCTGGTAATCTTACTTTTCTTTTTATCATTTTGTAATGATTTTATTTTGTCAGCCTTATTTTTTTTTATAACCGGAGTTAGTGAGATTATGGTACATTTCTCCCTCAATCAGGTATTGTCTGTTTCTGAATACTAGTTGCAAAATTTTAAAACTGTACTTTTAAATTATAGAAAAAGAATCCCTGTTTCACTTCCATGTTCTGTGTGTGCATCATGGTGGAAAGGTATGATTTACGATTTTCTAGGGTTTGTAATGAAAGATGAAAATGATTCTTATCTTACCAAGCATAAGTAGCATAAGATGCATAAAATAATTTTCAAAAGCAGTTTTTATCATTTACCAAAAGTTTTACCTTCCATCAGATAAATAAATTTCTTAATAAATCATGTAACATTTATGTAATAATTTGTAATTGGTTATAGTGAGTGTGGACCGTCCAAGTATCTGCAATTCCCTGATGATTTTTTTTTAGTGAAAACAGATTGCTATGTACATGGACAGAAAAACAGTCATATCATATAATATATAATGTTTAACGTGTGCAATGACACAGTATACATCATTACGAATTTGTGAAATCTTTTGATGGTTTTTTAAATGAAAACAAATTACTGTGTACATGGGAGAAAACTGCAGTGCATTTAATATTTAATAAAATATCTGATACAGTACAAAGTCTTTAATCCGGACTCATCGGGACTTCGGCGATTCCGGATTAGGGGTTTTTCCGGATTATAGATCATCAACTTAAATCTGGTAAGATGGCATGCAGTAATTATACAATTAAAAATATGAAACCATAATTTATGAAATAAAGAGCAATTATGGTCTAAAGAGTATCAAAATTTACAAAAAAAAAAAAAGCTTAATATTTGTTTACTTTATTAAACATTTCTTTCAACGCGTGCATGCGTAAAGCATACATTACACATAGTTGAAATTAGAAAATTGAAACAAAAAAAACTATTTGATGTGTATTTATGATATTTATAATGACGAGGAAATTGATTTAAATCATATCGGAGTACATCAAGATGAAACACTACATTTAGTAAGGAATTATTAACCGAATAAAATAAAAACATCTGCCCTGAAGATGAGGACAGTGCTGACAGATCAACTTCTAGTTCAATGCGCGCAGCGACGTTTCAGCGTACATAAAAGCACCATAAAATAAACAAAACACATCTTCAAATACACAATATATGGCAAAATACTTCAAAAAGCAAACAATTCATTAAATAACTCATGTTTTCTTTTGCAATGATCCCATTGGCACAGTACCTTTTTTGTCGCCAAAAGAGCCATTGACAATGATTTTTGGGATATACTGGTAAGTTTTGAAAGAATACACAATGTAAAGCATCTACAAGTCAAATTTAGCATTTTAAACATATTTAATGCATAGCATGATATTATGTATATGTAAGCTAAATTTAGCTAAAAATTAGCTGATTAAACATATTAAGCACGAGTAAGTCAAATTTAGCTTGTTAAACCTGATAATTAGGACAGTTACCTGTGTGTGTGTGTGTGTGTGTGTGAAAATTTGTAAAGAACATCAAGCATCAGCCTATTTTCATTTTAGTCGAAATTTTATTTTAGATAGTTATACTTTCCTACAATTTCATACCTTTCATATTTAATTGATACTCAATTCGTGATCTTCAATATGCTTGACAACAAAAACCAGAAACAGAGTCCCATCCAAACAGCATGAACAAATTTTCATTCCCTACCATAATTAGCAAACATATAAAAAGGGACTCATAGTTTTCCTATCCATTAGGCACCTAAAAAATCTCATAAAAGAATATGAATTAAGAGACAGAAAATAATGTAAATTAATACAAGATTAGTATCTTTAACATATGCTTTAGAGAAAATCAAATATATACACATTTTAAACATAATATACCGCTGTATACATATGTATGGATATGATAAAAGATTATGAAATACACAATAGGCTGGTTTAAAATTAAACTTCGAATAAAGCGCGAAGAAGTAATTCGTTCTGTAGCAAAATTTAAATCAACATATCAAGTTTTTACTCACAGTCGAACCAGCAGATAACTTGCAATAATAATCATTATAACTAGGAAAGGTCTGTTCGAAATATGCTGAGCCACATCATTCAAAAATGGAGTAATATTAAATTCCATTCGAATTTCGTCAAATGAAGAACTTTGAGAAAAAATTAGAAAACGAAAATCGAATGCTTCACTCTCAACCGCCGAAAAATCATAACAGCTCGAGATTAGTGTTGCCACATGTATTCATCGTTTAGACATAAAAACTGCGGGTGAGGTGCAGATTCTTCTTGTTACTAATATAACTCGTCTGAATCAGATATTATCCCGACAAGAAGTACTAGATCGGGTCTATCGTTGGCCACAGCTTTCAGTAACATGATGGTGACAATCCGACCTTGCTCAGTTCTGCCCCAGTTTTGAAAGACTGGGAACAAGTCCGAGTGCCTCCCACCCTCTGTTTCATTAACACCAACCTCTTGAAAAAAACTTTCTACTCGCTGCATATTTTGAGTGCCCCCATGTCGCACAGTCTCTATACATTTACAAACATCCGTGCCTTCTCCGGGATTCGAAGCCGGGTCTTTCGTTTCGGCAGTCAACATAGCTTATCCCTTTCCTGTCTGGCTGTCCTGAGGTGCAGATGATCGTGACTAAATGATTGAAACTAAAGATCTTTTTAATTAAGTTCCGTAATTCTGTTTGCAATAATTTTTCCATTTAAAGAACAGTAAATTTTTCAGTTTTACTGGCCAGTTCTTGTTAAATATATGTACGCAAAATAACAATTACAATATTTTAATATCATTGAAGTGTCTGATAATACTAAAAAAAGTATTTCTTAAAAATACATAACCTAAAAAGGTATTTCTAAAAATAAAGAGAAAAACGAATAGCAGAGCAAAAATACGATGCTTTTATTGGAATTACAAACTATAGCTATTCTTTTGAACGACAGTATCGCGAAGCACGATCTCCTGATGACGACAACACTCACTGTTGCCAGAACTTATCTAAACTATATATTATATTATTATTATTTTTATTAACATACTTTAATACTTCCCCTTGTAAAAAAAAATAATAATAATAAATTAAAAGAAAAGAGTCACAAAAGTCCCATCTTGTCACAAAGAATTAACAGTCTCGGTTTAAATAAAGGTTTAGTCATTATTCAGCAGCAAGTTGCGCCTCTGTAGGTACCTGCTGAACAATGATTTCCTTTTCTAGAACTTTTCTCTCGTATGAAAAAGTGCTTGATATTAATGTGTTTTGTGCGTCGATGAAAACTCCGGGTTTTGTGACAGTCTCACTGCAGCGGCGTTTGTCTACTTGAATTACTGGGGTTTCACGTAACTTGGTTACATCACTAAATAGTCGCTTTAACCAAATTACTTCTCTAGAACATTCACTAGCTGCAATTACTTCTGCTTCAGTCGTCGAAGTTGCAACAACTGATTGCCTTTGGCTAATCCATGATATAGCTCCACCACTATATAATATCACTACTCCACTCGTTGATTTTCCTGTTTCTTGACAGCCTCCAAAATCTGCATTACTATAGCATTCTAGAATTCCTGGTTTGTATTTATTCTTGTATGTAACACCTTTAGTTAGAGAACCTGCTATGTATCTGAATACACGTTTCAGTTTTTTCCAATCATCTTTCGAAGGATTTTCTAGGTAACGTGATAGAATGCCAACACAGTAAGCTAAATCTGGTCTTGTGCCTAACATAAGATACATTAAAGCTCCTACAGCTTCTCTATAAGGAAAAATTTCTCTGTTGATTTATCTTCCTTCTTTTCAGTTAGACCTTCCTTCAGGATAGGAGTTGAAACTGGCTTGCAATCTTCCATCCCAAATTTTGAAGAATTTTCTTGCATAAGCTTGCTGACTAATTTTAATACTTCCATCTTCAAGATGTTTAATTTCAAGTCCAGGAAAGTATACTGCTGGTTTAGTGTGATTCTGAATCTCGACTTCAATTCTCTGAGAAATTTTCAGATTCTTGTAGATCTGTTGATGCTACTAAACCATCATCTACATATAAACATATGATTAGCTTCTTGCCGTTATTGTTTCTTATATATAAGCATGGATCAGCTTCACTTGTCTTGAAGCCCAGCTGTGACACAAAATCTCCAAAATATTTATTCCAGCAGCGTGATGATTGTTTTCAAGTCCATACAACTGCGTTTCAACTTACAGACTTTCTTCGAACCGTCACTATATCCTTCTGGTTGCTGCATGTATATAGATTCTTCAAGTTTTCCATATAAAATGCTGAACCGACATCAAACTGAGAAAGATGCATTTTCTCATTGGCTGCGATGCTCAAAACTGAACGAATAGTTCCTAACTTTGTTACTAGACTAAACGTTTTGATCATAATCAACTCCAAAAACGTTGAGTACATCCTTTGGCAACAAGTCTAGCCTTGAATTTATCAATAGATCCATCAGGATTCTTTTGATCTTATAAACCCACTTGCATGGTATAGCTTTAGCATCTTTTGGTAATTTTTCTAAACTCCATGTTTCATTCTCTGTCAATGATTTCATCTCTGAATCCATAGCTTCTTTCCAATTAACACTTTGCTTACAGTTGATCGCTTCTTCATAGATTCAGGTTCTTCAGAATCAATAAATAAAAGCTTCACTTATCATTATATAATCTTCAAACGCTTTGGCTTTCTCAAGTCAGCTCTATCTCTTAGGAATCTTGACTGTACATTATTTTGCAAATTAATATCTTCACATTCTTTTCTTTCAGAATGTTCTTCTGATATATTTCCAGATATTTCTTTGTTGTACTCTTTTCTGAATTATCTTCTTCACAAAGAAACTTTTTCTGACTTACTTTTTCTGAATTTTGTTGATGTTCAGAGCCAGAAATTAGGCTATCTTGATCTTGAATAGGTACTGCACCCTTTCTTCTTCACAATCTGTGAGCTTTTCGTTAAATATAACATCCCGTGAACAGATCACACTATTGGTTTTCTTTGATCCATAGTCGGTATCTTTCGTCTCCATCATAACCAATTAAATAAGCTTTTGTAGCCTTATTATCCATTTTCCTTTCTTTGTTTAGGAATAGGGCATAGCACACAGATCCTACTATACGAAGATGCTTAATTCGAGGTTTCTTTTTAAAACCATAGCTCATAAGGACTCATGCCTTCCACTGATGATTTGCCAGTTCTGTTTAGTACATATATGGCAGTGTTGACTAGTTCAGCTACATTGCTGCAGAAAATGAGCTTCAGAATTTGAGTACTTAAATGTTCTTGCCATTTCGATTATTGTACGTATGTCTCTTTCACTAGAGCCATTTTGTTCAGGAGATAAGGTGCTTTAGTCTTGAGTTATACCTTTAGATGCAAAATACACGCACTTGTCATTGTCAACTCGCCTCCATTATCGGAGAAACTTTGACGAATGTCCAAAATTTTAGCGTGTGCAAGCATGTGTTTAAATTTACAACAGCAGATTTTTCCTTGATAAAATACCCATAACGAAACTTTGTGTAGCTATCATTAACCCATCAACGAGCCCGCCTCTCGGAACGAAATGCTTTGAAAACGGCCGCGTTGTCAGACAACAAACCCCTCCAAAAAAATCGCTTTCGTTTTCTGAAATCTCTCTAAGATGGCCCAGCCTAAGGCAGTATGTTTGCTTCCCCTTAGTGTGATGGATAAGCCATAAAATTGCCTCCCCGGTATTGAATGGCTTGCGTTTCGTTTCGTCTCCCTCCTCTTTCTTTGTACTAGTAGCCTGTAGACTTGTTTCTTTTAACATGTGACGGCCGAATTTTCCGAAATCTTTTTAGAATTTTAGCTTCCAAGCTTGTAAATTTTCAATTATTCGACATGTTTTATTGGGCAGTATTTTAAGAAAGATCATTATTTATTTTGTTACACAATTTTTTTACTATTTACTTATCTATTTTATTTAGTTTTAGTAGACCAATTTATTTTTGGGAAATTAAATTTTAATCCATTCTTTTACCGACTCAGTTTTCATCACATTATAAGTCCATATATATTTACGATGAGAGTACAATATTTATCAGGAAATTTTTGGAAAATTTGGCATATGCATTTATATTTTAGCGTTGAATTTTTTCCACAAGTTGTTCGTTTAACAGTCGAGCTCATCCTCGTAAACGCTTGATCTTTTCAGCGTGGAAATTGGCAAGCAATAATCTTCCTAATATTTTTCGGGATTTTATAGCAATTTCTAGAATTTTGGCGGTTTTCTACAAATATTTTGGGTAAGTTTAGCTATTATACAGTTGCTACTAATGTGGAATTTAAAGCCAAAAATGTATTCCTTCGTTGATTTGAGAGATCGCATTTCGAATTTAAACGGAAGTTTAAATGAATTTGATACAATCTTAGCCACAGACTAGAAAGAATTATTTCTCTGTGTTGGATGGATTTTTCTCTCACTTTTCTGCATTTGATACATTAAATGCATAAAGCAGACACTCACAAATAGAATTTAAATAAATTTATTTAAATAAATTTCTATTTTCATTTAAAATTTGTCATTATTAGCACCTCCCGCAGTTTTATGCAATCATAGGATTTTCCGAATTCTATTAGGTCGTTAACATAATTTCAAGGCCTAATAGAAAAGTGATAATATGGAAAGACTATGTCTTGAGTACCAATAGCCAAGTATTTGTAATTAAATAAAAAAAATAAATATTGAATACCAGCCGCTTTTTTATTTATTTTTAGTCATATAACAAAAGATAAACAAGAATACTATTACATCTAAGAATTATTTAGTAAATTATTTTGCTAATGTTTATATGAATGAGGAAACACGGTAAAAATGTTTTAATGACTGAATTCACCGTTAAAAATCAAACAAACCCCAAAATTCCTTTTTCCCAAAACTTCGTAAAATGTTTTGATTAAATATGATTTGAATGAGTTTTCCAATTCTGTTTTGAGTGATATAAATGAGGATATAAATTATTAAATTAGGATATAATATTAGGATATAAATTATTATTAGTAATAATTTTTGTATTATAACTTAGCAGAATATCGTTTATCGTTAAAAAGAATAAAAAATATAATTAACTGTTCCATTTTGTCCTCTATGCATCTATTTATATAAAAAAGGAATCTGGCTAGGGAATTTACGACTTGTATATGAACTAAAAATTGGTATCTTGACAAAACTTGTCAGAGCATAAAAAGCTTATATTCTGTGATATTACTGTATTAATCATACTTCTGTATCCGTAAATGCAGTTTATAATTACCAGCATAAGTATCATAATGGATTTTATTAAAACGACGAAAACTGAATGCATGATCATTATCAAAGTACGGCTCTTTATCCCGTTAAGAATTGCTTGGGTTCGTAACCAACACGAGTTTTATTTTTGAAATATTATTCCAAATAAAACAGGAAGCGTTAAACTATATGCATTTTAAACAGTTTTACTTTTTTATATGCATAGAAATGTTAAGTAGCTTTAAATTGTACTTCACTTCTGAAACTTCTGCGGTATTATTTTTAGAACAGATCAAGGACTTTAAAGAACAAGTACATTTTAGTAATATGCAACGTTAATGATATAGTTCAAATGTTATTGAAAACTGTACGATTTGTAACTGGCACTGGAAGAAGCAAAATTTATCTACAACTTTCCCTTTCTTCCCAAATTCGTCTGATTAGCAAGGATTGAATAGATAATTGTAAACGTCTTTGCTAAAAGTAATAATAATCGGGAAGAATCCTTTCTACCCCTGCCTCCTGGGAAAAGAAACGACTTGGAAGGGAACCTGACCTCCGCAGGCTAACTGACACTAAGGTCTCCAAAGACTATTTCTAGTCAATAGAGTTTTTTCATTGTAGAAATACTCATTATCTAGAGCTATCTTTTTTTTCTAGCCATTGTAAACTACAGATATAGTGGGAAAAAATTCTCATTTTACATAATTTTCGGATAATTACATTTTACGTTAAATAATTTTAGATTTTGATTAACGCAATCGATGAATATGGCAGAATAATAGTTTGTTGTAAACATTGTAAATTTCAACGTTTTTTTAAGTAAAGTTTTCAAGTAAACCAAACCAAAGATTATTAAATTAGTCTTATAATGTTTACTGTTTGGTTTTCAGTGTTCT